TATTGACCTATGCCACTTTAGTTTTGTGTATTTCACTGTACATAAATTATATTTCAGTAAAATATATTTTTATAAAATCAAGATAAAGTTGAAGCATTCAATACAATAAAATTGATGTTTTATTTTGATAGCAATTATAATCTGCCAAAAAAGAGTGGAAAGTCGTGGCCACCACAGTACTTACTTCTGAGTTGCCCAACACAAGGCAGCCTGAATCTGTGTTCTCAATTGCTTGAGGAGGCTGCTGAGTGCTGGCTGCTGGGAAGGAAGCTGAAATTGCAGGGTGCTTTTCTCCATCTCCAGGTCTTGTAATCTTTGTTTCAACTTCTCAGCTGGAAATCCAAAAGGATGTGAGAGAGGGAAAGAGAAAAAAAAAACAGGAAACTCAAAATAGATAATCCAGTGTCTTTTAGCTCTACTCCTCATCTATATTTTCCTTAATGACATAATACAAAGGTGACTGGTTTCTAGGCCAGCACTTTCATCTCTCAACCAGTGCTTTTAAGAATCTTCTTTCTTTTTACTAATAATAGAGGACAGCCCTCCCATCTTTCATTCTTCTAACTCTCAGAGGTTATAGTTTATGATAATCACATACAGGAATACTTAATATTAATTATTTTTAAAATCATGATCATTTTGGAGGAAATTTGCTAATTTTATGGATGATATATAATCATTTGGAAAAAAATCCCCAAGTGTTCGTTTGACTCCCCAACCTTTTGGTTAGCAACTGAATGCTTTAACTGCTATGCCAGCAGAGCTCCCTTCTAGATAGTCATAACGTAGTGATAAAGATATGTCAAGATACTATTACATAGGGGTTAGGGGAAAATCTGAGTCAGTACTGCAGGTCTGCATTTCTAGCTGACTGATCTTCAAATCACTTAACATCTTAAGCTTCAGTTTTCCAATGTATAAAATGGGGTCAATAACAGTATCTACATAGATGGATGTGGAATGAGGGATAACATTGCTGATGTCAGATGGATCTCGGCTGAAAAAGAATACCAGAGAGATGTTTACCTGTGTTTTACTGACCATGCAAAGACATTTGACTGTGTGGATTATAACAAATTACAGAAAACTTTGCAAAGAAGGGGAACTCCAGAACATTTAATTGTGCTCACGAGGAACCTGTACATAGATGAGGAGGCAGTCATTCGAGCAAAAAAAGAAGATACTGTGTGGTTTAAAATCAGGAAAAGTTTGCAGCAGGGTTGTATCCTTTCACCATATTTATTCAATCTATATGCTTGGTAAATAATCCAAGAAACTGGACTATATGAAGACGAATGAAGCATCAGGATTGGAGGAAGACTCATTAACAACTTATGATATGCAGATGACACAACTTTCCTTGCTGAATGTGAAGAAAACTTGAAGCATTTACTGAAGAAGCATTTACTCTGAAGATCAAAGACTACCCTTCAGTATGGATTACACCTCAACATAAAGTAAAAAAAGATCCTCACAACTAGACCAGTAAACAACATTATGATAAATGGAGAAAAGATTGAAGTAGTCAACAATTTAATTTTACTTGGATCCACAGTCAATGCCCATGGAATGAGCAGTCAAGAAATAAGACGTCATATTGCCCTGGGCAAATCTGCTGCAAAAGACCTCTTTAAACTGTTAAAGAGCAAAGATGTCATTTTGAAGACTAAAGTGCACCTCCAAGCCATGGTATTTTCAACAGCCTCATAGCATTTTAGAGCTAGACAATGAATAAGAAAGACAAAAGAAGAATTGATGTATATGAACTGTGGGGTTAGCAAAGAATTTTTAATGTACAACGAACTGATAGAAGAACAAACAAATCTGTCTTGGAGGAAGTATTGCTAGAATGCTCCTTAGAAGTGAGAATAAACAGTCTCTCATACTTTGGTCATGTTGTCAGAAGGGACCAGTCCCTGGAGAAGGATATCGTACTTGGTAGAGAGTCAGTGAAAAAGATGAAGACCCTTGTAGTAGTTAAGTTTGTATGTCAACTTGGCTGGGCCTGGTTGAGTGGCTGGGCAGCTGGATGTAGTATTCCCCTTGATGAGACTGGTAATCAGCACTATGGTGGAATCTACTGTGAGCAGCTGAGTAGCTGCTGTAGGGATGTGGTCTACTTCCTGTATATAAGGAGAAGCCTTGGGGAACAGTCTCTAGCTTAAGGCACACTTGAAGCCTGCATGTAGCTGTGTCATTGTTCAGCAGCCTGCCATGCTCTGCCAACCTCGGGACTTTCAATGGACTTGAATTAATGCCCTGCTGTGTGGTTTGGTAACATCAGGACTGTGCCTTTTCACTTGTCAACTTTGGGCTTGTTAGTCTCAGCAGCCAGTAGTGTCTGAGTAAAATAAATCCTCTCACTCCAGTGGGCTGGGAGCAAGAGGCAGAGCTGAAACTGAAGGATGAAGGGCTTTCACCCAGCCCCTGGAGCATGGCACTTTGAACTTGACTTAAAGCCTCCAAACTGAGAGAATAAACTCCTGTTTGTTCATGCCATGCCATTGATGGTATATTCCTGTCAGAGCAGCACTAGGTAACCTGAACAACCATCAAAGAGATGGATTGAGCAATGGGCTCAAGCATGGCAATGATTGTGAGGGTGGTACAGGCCCAGGCAGTGTTCCATTCTGTTGCTATGAGTCAGAACCAATTGGAAGGCATCTAACAACATAACAACACATCACAGAATTTTCTGAGAATTAAATGAGATAATCTATGCACAGCTCTTAGGACCCTGTCTAGCATTTAGTAAGTATCCAAAAGGATTGGCTCTTAGTAGTATTAGTAGTATTGTTAAATACTAGCCTGAGAATGTTTGCAATAAATTTTAAAACCCAGTATGGTTTCCTTTTGCATAAACGATGTTCTAAACTATAGCCTCCCACTACCAGATGAGAAGTCCTCAGAAAATTCAAGTTGATCCTACAAAATAAAACACTTCAAATAGTAAAATCCCATAGTATAGAACCACTCCATGCTGTCTCCAAGGCTATATATCTTTATGGAAGAAGACTGCCACATCTTTCTCCTGAGAAGAGGCTGGTGAGTTCAAACAATCAACCTTCTGCTAGCAGTCAAGTACTTAATTACTGTACCACCAGGGCTCCTCTGAAATGGTAACACACTGCCATGGAGTCAGATCTGACTTATGGTGACCCCTCCTTGGGTTTCCCAGACGGTATCACTATGGAAGTAGATTGCCCAGCCTTCCTTCCGAGGAATGGCTGGTGGGTTTGAACCGCCAGCCTTCTGGTTAGCAGTCAAATGTCTTAGGTACTACACCACCAGAGCTCCAGTACCAAAAATCACATTGACAATGAATTCCAAAAGAAAATATAGATTATCCCAGGCAATATCATGATTAGCTATGTTCTATGATACTACTCTCCTTCACAAGTGTGACTATCTATAGTTATTTTTTTTATTTTATGATGTAAAAAAGCCCATCAGAATAGTCACCAGAAATTTTAGTACCTCAATAATTGTCTCTAATTTCTAAATTGTCTGTTACTCCCGGAACCTTTCTCTTAAATATTACCTTCTTTGGATTTACACTAAAATGTGCACCATCAGTTCTAGCTGGATTTAGGAGCCGATCTATCCCATTGTACAAAGGAAGCTGTACAGAAAAACAAAGTCACTGCCATTGAGTTGATTCTGACTCATAGTGACCCTCTTTGGGTTTCCAAGGTGGTAAATCTTTATGGAAGTAGATTGTCCAACTTCCTTCCATGGAGTGGCTGCTGGGTTTGAACCACCAATCTTCTGGTTAGCAGTCAAATGCCTTAGGCACTATGCCACCAGAGTTCCTAAGGAAACTCTATTCATTCATTCATTTTCATTTACTGCCGTCAAGTTGGATCCAACTCATAGAGACCCCTCCTTGTGTTTCCAAGGTGGTATCACTATGGAAGTAGACTGCTGAACCATGGAGTGGTTGGGGGGTTTGAACCACCAACCTTCTGGTTAGCAGTTGAATGCCTTAGGTACTACGCCACTAGCTCTATAGGACCCCTCAAATTACACCCCTATTCACTTATCAGATATTCCAAGCAGAGAGAATTCCAAGCCACTGAAAAAGTGCTGAGGTGGATTCATGATTTACATTAAGGAGCACTTGTCCTTTGGGTGAACAAAGAGGAAGTAGAAAGAGATAAGGGGAGAGGGGTTATAAGACAGGCTTTATCTTCAGGGTCTGGAGCCATTGTAAGGACTTTGGCATATACCCTGAGAGAAATGGGAGCCATGCTTTCAGTTTTTAGCAGAGTGCCAGGACTTGTGTTTGAATGGGATCACTATGGATGCTGTGATGTGAAGTTTGTAGGAGTAAAGGTCAAAGCCCTGAGATCAGTCACAAGATTATTATTGTCATCTAGACAACATCTAATGGTGGCCAAGTATAGATGTAAAATAAAACCCAGTGCCATCAAGTCAATTCAGACTCATAGCAACCCCCTTTGGGTTTACAAGGTGGTAAATATTTATGGCAGTGGATTGCACCATCTTCCATCCACAGAATGGCTGGTAGGTTTGAACCACCAACTTTCTGGTTAGCAGTCAAATGCATTAGGCACTGTGCTACCAGAGCTCCTTAAATGTGAAATAGAGGTGGTAAAAAGTCATTGAATTCTGGATATGTTTTGATGGGAAAGTCAACATTTTCTGACTGTTTAGATACAGGAAACTTCTCAAGAGAAGGAAAAAAATCCAAGGTGCTGCCTGTGTTTTTTCCCTGAGCAACCAAATGGATGTTACTTTTATCCGAGAAGGAGGAATCTTCAGTTCCTTTTGCAAGAAATGTCTCTGTCCACATCTCCCCCTGGCTATCCTCCTCATCCTTCAGATCACAGTATAAGTGTTCCCTCCAGAGGTAGGCCTTTCCTGGCACCTACCACCACCCTACCAGGTAGGCCCCAGGTCTACATGCTCACTAGCACATCTTGTACTTGCCTTTCACAAGGCATACCACACTTGCCTCTCCTTGTGAAAGTCTCTCTGGCACAGTAGTACCTGTGTTCATGAGGAAGGAACCACCTCTGCCATGGTGATGGCTGTACAGCACGCACCAAGACAACAACTGACATGGAGTAATGTGTTGAATTAAACTAGATTTCCTTGTTCTGTGTATTGTTTTATGTATTTTCCACAAGCCACTTTACATCCTTTTCATTAGTAACTAAATGAATATAGTAAATACTTAGCAAGTCTAAAATAAAATTCACTCTCTGCTTCCCAAGATTTTACTCTTTCTTCCTTTCTAGGTGATCTCCTAGTGACTCTCCTTTGTGGCATTCACCACACTCATGCTTTCTTTTTCATTTCACTGCCT